TCCCCAAAGTTAAAGGCCCTAAGGGTTAAGCGAAGTTTTGTTTCTTTTTCATCCGAAGGGCCTGGGGCGGCCGGTCCAGAATGGAGCCCTCGGCCGGCCGTGTGGCGGTTGCCGGCCGGCGAAGGGCCGTGCCTGAAGCGAGACGACATGGCACCCGATGACTTCTAATACAGTTTAGGTTTAGGATTTAGGGGTTTAGGGTTTTAGGGCCTAAGTTAGGGTTTAGGGTTTTGAGCTTAGGGTTAGGATTCCGCTTCGACGGTACCACACGGTGGCAACACTACTATATTTAGTATCCCAGTTCCGCCCCTGTCTTGGCAGTTTATTCATGTCTGAGGTCGTGGCATTGGTTGACGCGGCCGGTCGGGGCTGGTTCTTTGGGGCATCGTTCTGGCGCTCCAACCAAATTAAGTAAAGGTCGGAGAAATCGCACCCAATATGGCAATGGCTGGGCTAGAAGGCAGTATGACGTGGCTTACATATAGCGACAGATATGGGATAACATACGAAACGAAGCTGGTTGGGCCCGGCTTCAGGCAGCAAAGCTCCCGAGGCCCCGGCCCAGCGAGCGGAGCCTCGCAGGCTGCCTTGTAGCTTTCTCAGGGTTTGGGGTCCGGGGTCAAGGATGACCATTCCGCCCATGTCCCGACCCGAATGCTGAGCTGCTGATATCATCATAACGTACCTTAACGTCCTAGAGTGCCAGTCCGTCAACAAACTCTTGTTGAAACAGAGGGCGACCTGGTCACTATCACTATTCCTCCGAACCCAAGTCTGGCATGGTGGGATTCGGCACGGTCAAGCCTGACTTCCGGCCGGCTTCCGCAGAAGGCTGCCGCCTAGTGATGTGAGTTCGGTCTCGTTTTTCTTAGCGTTTCAGGAGCTCTGGGACTCAGGACAATGAAGATTGGCTTCCGCGGAATATTGGGGGTTGCGCGTCAAGCACCACGTCTGTGCCCCTGGCCGTTGTGCCGATGACGAACACCAGCCTGGGTACGCAGAATCCAATCAGAATCCATTTCAGCTCAAGGCAGACTGCCATGGAGAGGGGAAGGGAACGCAGTGGCTTACGATCGGCTGAGCTCCCCTCCCCGCCACCTCTGAGCCTTTGGCGCACCCAGAGTGCAGAGTCGAAGCTGCGACCACCTCCTGGATCTCCTCCGCTCCATCGAGCGGCCAACTGATCCAGCCTCAGCCCAGCGTCTCTGACGGAACTTTCGGGAGATTGCGTGACTCGGCCCCTGGCCTGGGTCATGGCGCTTCGGCGGGGTCTGCTTGCTTGTAGACTTCAGCTCAGATCTAACAGGCTCTAAGATGCCCTAAGAGATCCATAAACCCTAAACTCTAACCCCTAAACCCTAAACTCAGTGTCCTCTCTTTGATGGCCACAATCGCTGATGTCATGCGATGTCATGCACTTGAACACTGCCAGCCCGGTCGCCCCGGAGCTGCGGCCGAGCCAAATGCGGGGATCATGTGTATGTGGTGCGAGCAGGTCCTCATGAAATAAACCTCACGAAAGGAACTCCGAGGCCATCCTTGAGCTCAGCATGAAAAAACAGTCTCAGAATAGCTTGATGTGTTGGATTCCTCTTCGGCCCGACGGACAAAAATTCGCAGCGTCAACTGACTTGATGCTTCAGGGTCGAGCACCAAGAGTAATTCAAATTATTGTGTCTTCGCCGCTTGTTGGGGTTTTCTCGGGGCTTGGGCGATGTCCTATAACAGAAAAATGCAATTCGGCATCTGGGCGCACTTCAGAAAGGACAGGACGTAGTCCGATAACCTGAGGCTGGGAAGGCAGAGGAAGAGCCTACGAAGTGTCTTCCCCCAATTGTAGGGCTAGGGTGTAGGGGGATGCGACATGTTGACAAGACATCAGACATGCCACGACATGCATTCAATCAACTTGCGCTTTCAGGAAAAACACTCGCAGGCGATAGCTCCACGCACGATAGCCCTTGACACATTTAAGGTTTAAGAGAGAAACAATCCTGAAACTCCTTCCCTTCTGCAGCCACTGCCACCATTCCAAGTCTTGGTTGTCGGCCATGGCGCAATCTGGGCTCAAGGTTTGCAGGGACTCGGACCCTGCGACATACATGCCAACTCTAATGGGCTCTCTTTGACCCTCTGCAAGGTTTTGCTCGCTATATTCTGCACGACAAGCTCTCGAGGAGTTTCAAAGCTCAGGAAGGCAAGAAGGCCGGGTCGAAATCCTGCAATGCAGAAAGAAACTCCAAAAGCACCTCTTACTACTCTTGTACGTCCAGGGCCCGACCTCGTCGATGCGCCAGGACACGAAAAAGGGAGCCGTCTGAGCCGGAACGCCACAGTTGAGAGCTTCAGGGTTACAGTTTCGGCCGCTGGACCAGGCAAGGAGTGGCTGAAAGCTGTCTGCACCATGCCTTCAGGGCGTGATTAGGGCCTGCAGATATGAGCAGCTACCAAGAGTTTGGTCTGCAGTCTTTTGCTCCTGCTTGAAGCTCAGGGCTCTTCGATCTAGAGCCCAACTCCCAGTGAAACACGAACTACGGCGAGCGCTCTACTTCGCTCGAAGGAACTTGGCATGGACTTCGACCTTAGCAGGGCTGCTCTACTCTTCGCGACTTGGCACCTGCATCCGATACCGCCACGGCTTGCAAAACTTGTCGTCCCTACGGAAGAGGCATTTGCTTCAGGTCGAGGGGCCCCAGAAGGCAAGCAGGCCTGAAGTCTAGGAACTGCCACGTTAAATTGAAGACTGGAGGTTCCCATGCAAAGCTTAAACCATCGTATCTGGACGAGCACCCTCCGGGCCACGTACCGTCTTTCTCGTGCCTTCAGCCTGCCCGATCAAGTTGGTCATGGCTGTTCTTGCTACACTCTGTCCTGTAATCTGCCCTTGGCAGTCTTGCCTGCTCTTGCCAGCCTTACTTAGCCAATCCGGGTCAGCACGGCAACGATGATGATGACGACGATGCAGAAGAGTCAGGAAAGTATGATGCGGATGAGCAGTATGACGAAGCAGGACGGCGACAGAGATGACGATAACGATGATGCTGATGCTGAAGCTGAAGCTGATGCTGATGCTGACGCTGACGCTGCTGATAATGCTGATGCTGATGCTGCTGATAATGCTGATAATGCTGATAATGCTGATGATGCTGGTGATGCTGATGCTGCTGATATTGCTGATCATGCTGATGATGCTGGTGATGCTGATGCTGCTGATAATGCTGATAATGCTGATGGTGCTGGTGATGCTGGTGATGCTGGTGATGCTGAGGATGATGGTGGTGATGATGATGGTGATTTCTAGCGTCAGAGCGGTTCGCTCCTGTTTCTGAAATTTCTACACATCTGTCGAAAGAGACAACAGAATTTGACCATGACAAACACGAGATTCTGAAAAACAGAGCGCAACCGTTGAAAGGTGAAAAGAGACGAGAGCATTTGACAATTAGTGTTAAATCTAACAAACGAACACAGCCGCTGAAAGGTACTAGACAACTGTTTCTCTTGGAGCAAACCGCTCGGCGAATTTGACCATGACAAACAGGAGATTCTCAAAAAAGATGAGCACAGCCGTCGAATGGTACTAAAAAACTAGCAAACAGTAGCAAAACGTGCGAAAGAGACCTCAGACGTTGACAAACAGTGAATTTATCAGAGCACAGCCGTCAGAAAATTGACAAAGAGGATGCGATAACAGCTGCTAAACTGTACAAGAAAATTTGAGAAACAGCAGTAGATCGCCCGAAAGGGACTAGAGGATTTGACAAAAAGGAAACTATAAAGCACTATAAAGTGGACTCAGAAGTTCAGGAAGAGGAGAGAATTGAGAAATAGGCGAATGTCAGAAACACGAGACAAACAGTCAAAAAGGGCTTTGGAATGCTAAGGCCACAGGAGCAAACTCACACGAGAGTATATAATTTGACAGAGTGGAACAATCCGGGAGATTTTGACAGAAGAGCTGGATAAGGGGTAGCAACCCAGTGAAGAGGGGCCGGAAACTCTTGACAAACAGGAGCAAGCCGCTTAAAGGAGACTAGAGTTAGAGAAGTTGGCGACGAGGAGTTTCTTAGAAGAAGGATCAAGAAAGTCGAAGAAACTAGAATGGATAGAGAATTGAGAAACAGGAAGGAACGCTCGATAAGGAATCGCTGAGAAAGAAAAGCTGAAGGAAGTCGAAAGGCACGAAAAACTTGAGAACCAGTAGCCAACCACTCGAAAAAGACTGGGGTGCAGGACATGGCCAATCCTCCCCTCTTTCTTGTTCATTCCCAATTTCGCGCCGTGGGCGTGTGACCGATGCCGAGGTTTTCTATGTAATTGCCTCGAAACTGCTTGCAATGAACCCTCTGTCATATTGTTATCTGCGACAGTTATCACAAGTCTCTGCGGGAGTCGATGGCGAAGTCATTGTGTTATTGCTTTGTCACAAGGCCCTGGCCTGCTGCACCTTCCGGATTTCGGCTTCCAAATCCGCTACCTTGCATGTGGGGTGTGTGGGGAAGCGAGGAATGGTTGTAGTTCATGAAGAGAATCAAGAGGAAGTCGAACTCAGCATGCAAAATGGCTCGAATTGCTTTCTGCACCCCTCACCTTGTCTTCATGAAACAGGCCTGCACCCTGGAATCAAGAAGGACCGGCAAATAAAGGTCCCGTTTGTACTTTCAGGCCATTGAAACGACAGTTTTGCCCACTGATGGCTGGAACCCGTCTTGACAGAACTAGAATTGTTCGTGTCCTCCGATAACTCCGCGCCTGCTCTCGTTCCATGGACTTCTCGTCCGCGATCATCTTCTTGAGCTTAGCTGCCTCGCGAACCACGTATTCATTTCTTCGGGGACCTTGCCAAAGAACTTGCGACAATGGCACTGTAAGTTTGACCGCTTCGCGTGTTGATTCAGAGATGACTCTACAAAGTAAGGTTGCTTCTGATGTTGGTGCCAATACCAGACTTCCCAGCACCGCTTGAGTTCAAAGGCACCGACAGCTCGCTTGTTCACAACTTAGACCCCGGAGAAGGCCTTCTGTCTGTGCGCACAGCCCGACCGACCCGTAAAAATGCCCCCAAACAAGCTTCTCTGCAGCACCTGGTGCTCAGCCTGGCGCTGCAGGGCGGTCTTGCCTTGCAATCAGAACACTTTGGGGTTTAGAGCTTAGGCTTTCGGGGAGTCGGTGCAAGGGAGTAGCATTCTTCGGTTTCAGGTAGGGCGCGTGAAGTCCTCGCCTCTCATTCTTTAGGGTTGTGGAGTCGCCCTTCCGGCTTGTGGCTTACAGTTAGGGTTTAGGGTTTAGGGTTCATGACTTGGCCCTTCAGGCTTCACGGCTTGAGATTCACAGCCTCAGGGTTACAGGCTGCAGAGGTGAGATAGGTTCAGGGTTTGCGGACTCGGGCGTGGTGTGGGGATATGATTTAGCGTAGGGGTTCAGCATTGAGAGCTCTGGGCAAGCATGCTAGGAATGATAGTGGCAATGAGAATACAAACCAATGCTCTCAAAAAAAGTCGTTAGCAGTCACCGCGGTGATTGTAATAATGCTAACGACATTGCTAATGCAACAATGATAACAATGGTGTTTATTCAAAGCAGCGTGACAGAAACAGCAGTGGAGGCGTCTGAAGAAGCATTCATCAGCTTGCAACACTTGAAGACCCGTCGGGCGCGAGCTTCGGGAAAAAGAGGATCCTTGCGTGGTCCCTAAACCCTAAACCCTAAACCCTGAACTCAAGGCCCTAGCAGGGTCCAGCGTAGCAATGGGGATTCTAGGAGTCTCGGAAAACAAAGCTTCCCACCCGAAACCCGTGGCCCACCTCGTCTCTCCATCAAGTTCGCTGCACGGATCTTGGCCTGCAGGTGCGCCTCCTGCAGCTGCAGGTGCCCAGCCGACACAAGCCCAAAGCCCGCAAGACGAACGATCAAGTGCGCCATTTATCGGAGGAAGTTGCCGAAGTCTTGCCTCAGCCGCTCTCGGAACTGCTGGTTCGACTTGACTCTGCCTTTTGAAACCCCATCCTCTCGTCCGAACTCCTTCAAACCCCAAGGGCCAAAATCGAAAGCACCGAAGCTCTGCATCTTGGCCCCCCCATCAAGGTTACCGTTGCAGACCGCCTTCTGCTGCGCCTGGCGCTCGGCCAAGTCTGCCCTCTCCTCCATAGACTTGGCCTCAAACAAGGGGCATTTACGCGGGGCTGGGAGGGCTTTGGGAGTCGTGGGATTTGCGGGTTCCTGAACTCCTCGGCCTTGATTGAATTCTGCCGTGGACTTGCGATTTGGCCGTTTCGTCGGAGTTGGCGGGAGAAGCGCTCAGGAGTGTAAAGAATCTGCAATCTGCAGAAGCTTTGGTTTGGATTCCTTGACTCACTTGAACTTAGGGCATGTGAAACTCAACCTCCCAAACACTGCGACCTCCTTCTCGATGCGTCGCAGCTCCGCCTTCTTGCTGGCCAGAGCCTGCGATTAGGTGCTTGCACAGTCCTGCTGATGCCTCTTGCAGATTCAGCAGGCACATCGGCGGCATCGAATATGAAGGCCAGTCTTACAGTCTAGTTTGTCAGGCAAAGCCTGAAATCTCCATGGCCTGCTCCTCCTCAACGACCTCCTCCTGGACCTTCTGCAGGTTCAAGTTGGCGGCCTGGACCTTCTCGGCGGATGCCTGAAGCATCTACGGCAGGAAAGGGTGGGTCGTTAGCCGGCAGAACAGTGTGGCACGTACATGGGCCACACACATTCCTGCGGCTGTGTTCACACGGCATTGAGTGCGGTGGGGGCGGAAATTCGGTCCCGGGCGATGCTTCTTGAACTATGGATTCGTGGCACAAAGTCAGCTAAAGAAACACGCAGTTTGCACCCGAAACGGTCGTTGAACAGAGTGTGATTCGCCGACACAACCCCAACACTCAGCACACCTAGTGCAGTTGAGTTCTTTCGGAAGACTTCGGGCCAACATTTTCTGAGCGCGCTTACCAACATCTACATGCAAGCCTCCTTTCCTGCTGCACTCACCAGAGCCATGATAAAAATCGTACTTCGAACCAGCCTCCAGTCTTCTGATAGGTACGAGTACAAGCTTGCACTTGAACATCGCTGAAAGTGGAACTGGTCTCGGAATTTTCAACAGTGTTGTGACATTCCGGGATAGGGGCATTGCCCCAGGAATAGGATTGCGGCTAAGTGCGATGAGCGTGTAATTACATGGTGTCACGGCTGAACCAAACCCGAACTTGGAGCCGGGATCAAGTCTGTTGATGCTGCACCAGCTCAGACCGAAACTAGACGTAAACTTTGGCGTGCCTTCCTCTGCGAGTCGAGGCTGCTCTGCATGTCTGCCATGCGCTTCTTGGTGGACTGGGCTTTCTCCTCTGCTGCCTGCACGGTACAGCTCTTGTTTTCAACAAAAGCCACACGAATCACACGAATCGCGTGTAGCAGTCTCGAAGCCCCACGAAAGCAGGCTAGGTTGGATTTGATGGTGATGGCGATGCTGCTGTCGCCCACTATGGTGTTGATAAATACAACTGCTGATGGCTAAATGTGGTCTCACACAAACACATGGCTCGTGTTTCCGTCTTGCCCAAGAACCTATGGCTGTACTATGTCGAGTTGTGACGGTTTGGATCAGCATTGCGATGTTTAGTGAGAGCATTGCTCTTGTGATTGTCGCTGCAGTTCCACCTGCCCATCCCAAAACCTACACCCAATCTCTCAAGCTAAGCCGACGACCTTTCCACACGGTTTGCAATGACACTGCTCATGACGATCAGATCATCATTAGCAATAATGCGAGTGTTTGCAAAATAGTCATTTTCTCTATTACTTCTGAACGTTATTACTTCAAGATGCGATTTTCTCGTACCATTGCTGAACATGCATGTGCTCAAAACCTGCCTTTAGGGCAACGGCTCTCAACCCGGCAACTATTTGCGCAGCTGCCGGAGCAGGTCCTTCTCACTGGCACCCCAGTTCCGGCCTCTTTGCTCTTCCGGAGCTCGGCTCGCAGTGCCTCCTCCTTCTTGCTGGCCTCCGCGGCCTCGTGCATGGGGAGGAAGCTTCCGAAGGGCCCGCCCCAGACACACTACTCAGACTCCATCTCTTGATCCATACGCCAACCTGCTCTTCCTGCATACATCCTCTTTACGATCTATCGTACACAAAGACTCACAGGTAGAATCGGACATCTTGAGAGTCCGCAAATCCCAACGTGCTAAAGCGTGACACCGGCAAGCCGGAATAAACCTCAAGCCCTGAAGCCCCTAATCCCAAGCACAGGTTCTTTAAAAGCGCTTTGTGAGCTTTGTTTTGATGGGGCCTGGTCTTGGCCGACTTTCTGCTCATGCGCCAGCTCTTTCTGTAGCTGCGAAACCTTTGGGCAACTCGAGGGCTGTCAAAGAATCAAAAAGTGGTTGAAGATTTAGAGTTTAGAGCTTTTTTGATCCTTGCAGCAAAAAAGGCACCGGGTATCAATTGTTCGGGTGCAGGCTTAAGTTGAGGGCCATGTGGGTTAGGGCTCACGGGGATTTTGTTTCGAGAGGGAGCTCTTTGAGATTGACAGTGCGGGAATGGAACGTTTATTCGTTCGACTCAACGGAAGGCATAAACTAAAATTCGTATGCGCCTTTCGCAGGTTCAAGGGTCTGGTGTTGAGGATTTGAGATTTCAAAGTCGCTGAACGTGAAGTCTTTTCCAAAGGTCGGTATCAAAGAGGTTTGAAAGCATCTTAGGCTTCCCGGCCTTCTCCCTGATCTGGCCCTTCTCGATCTCAACCTGGCAAGCGGAGTCCTAAACTCTCCATGCCTGCAGAGGTACAGTCCGACCAACCTACGGCCGGTGGCGGGAATTCGGAGTGCCCGTGTAGCGTCTCTTATGCTCTCCGTAACTATTCTCGACCACCTGATGGGCAATCTTCTGCTCCTGCTCCTTGACCTGCCAAGCAAGGGTCGTTTCTGATCGGATCAAGTCTTGAGTTTCCTTGAACATCATGCGTGTCATGTTAACGGGCAGATCAAGCCGCTCAAAGCCCGTCACTTCTTCGCTAAGTGGGAGGACAGCAGACCTCCTTCAAGTGCTTGTTCTCCACTCGCTTCACCTGCAGAGGCCACCCTTCAACTCCACAACCCAACAGCTCCGACCTCGTTTGCCCCAAATCCCATGCTTGAGGTACCCTGAGAGAATCTTGGTTTACGCAGCCCTGGCCGGAAAAGCGGCGCTCACATGCCTCTTCCGCAAAGCTTTCCTTGGCAAGCTTCGCCTTAGAAGCACAGAACAATGAACAGTAAACCCAGATGGAAACCGCATGTCAGATGCTGCGAGAAACTCCGAGCATATGAAGATAGAGCAGGTTCTGCTAATCCAGACCCCAACCATCACACCTGCTTCCCGGACAAGTGAACTTTGCATCAACTCTGTAACGAAACCATGGACACCTTTGATGGCAAATCCTCTCCTTCCCACTTCCGCAAGACTCCAGGCCTCCTTCTGAAGCATCTCCTGGACACGCTGAAGCTCTGCAGCATCCTCGTGCGCCTTCTGGATTTGGTTCCGCGCGGAGGAGCGTGGCAGAAGTCCTTGGGCCTTTTGTATTTGGAAGGAAACCGACAATGCTTCAAGCAAGGATGTGCTCTTTTGGAACCGTAGATCAAACACAACAAGCTACTGCTGCCTCCAAGTGGCTCCTGTGACGGTTCTGCAGAAGGCAACGCAGGCTTGAACTCTATCCCCAGAAGCTCGAAAGCTCCGAAATGCTGTGGATGTCAATTTCAATCTTGTTTAAAGTCGTATACCCCCGCTCACCACCTCCTAACGGCGTCGACGAAAAACCCAAACGACTCCTCCTGAAGTAGGTACGTCGGAAGCCAGCCTGCGCCTCCGCTTTGGCCTTCTCGCGCTGGAGCTGATCCTGCGCCTCCTTCTCCTCCAACGCTTCGTCTATTATGTTTATGTTCTTCTGCATAACTGGACTTAAGCTGTAAGAGCAAAGCTATGTACTGGGAAAGACAGCTATACACTAGTAGGCATATCCGCAATCGTGGAAAAGACAGCAGCATCTACAGCAAGAATGCATCCGTGTCATCAATGACGCTATAATCACGCCTGCCTGTTATCCTGTCAATACCTGATGCTCCATCTGAGGATTTTCACAATTACTGGTGTGTACTTTCCGTTTCCCACCCTCCGTGTGGCGTCGGTTCCGTTACCGGGGTTGACAAGGCAGAACGAGACGCCCGGATCAAAGCTAGCACTCAGCACACAAGTCGATATGCAACAGGGCATCTCCATGTCTTGCTCCTCATTGTCCCACTATCCGAAGTGATGCCCCGACCCTAAAATTCGTAAGATCCAACTTCTAAAGGCAATCCCAGTCCTGCTCCTTCGCTTTGGCCTTCTCTTTCTCGAGGAGTCGTTTTGCGGCCCGCGCCTGACCGGAAGGACCCCGACCGCCAAATCTACATCCATCGGGGTGCCACTTCTGCAAACGGCTCGCCTTGATGTGCGTATCCCGAGATTGTCTAAGAGCCACAGTATCGAGACGTAGACAGACAGAACCGAGATAGCTAGATACAGACACAGGCAGATGGGTGCATAGACAGGCAGGTGGCTAAATACGTAGGTAGCTACGTAGGTAGATTAGACACGCAGGTTCATGGCCTAGACGATAAATTAGATACGCAGACAGCTGGCACAGGAACACGCAGACAAGCACGCACATGCACACAGAGGGGCATTATGGATCGAAAGGATATGAGTAATCTATTTCAGCGCATTGGGCTATATTGCATTTATTGTATCATGACATTATGTAACATATTTTAACAGGTTCAGCTGTACCATACTCTGTCATGTTGTATCTCAAACCTTACCTTGCTTTGTTGTATTGTACTTATTGCATCCTGATATAGCATACTATAAAATGTGACACAATACGATATGACATCATTAGTCTGTTATGCAATATGATATGAAGTGACATGATTTGGTTTGACCCGCATATGTTATTATGATATCCTATACCGTATCATATGATATGTATTATGCTCGGCATTGTTGGATCATATCGTGCTGTTCTCTGTCACTCTATGTTTTATTGTGTTGTATTGCATCATACTATGTTATATGGTATCAGCAGATATGACATTATGTTCTACTCTGTGGCATTCGGCTTTCCTCTATTGTATTATTCTATGTTCTATTCTGTTACAGTATATTGGAGTACTCTACAATATACTGGAGAATCTTACAGCGCCGTGCATTATGTTACAGTATGCTACACTGCTGTACACTACATTACATTAAACTACATTACTTGAACTATCATTATATTATCTTCCTCCATACTATTACTTTATATGATATGAAATCTTATTATAGTGCGTTTTTCTGTATGATACTACAGTCTACATTACTCAGTTTGTGTTACATTACTTCATTCCACACCATCTTATATTGCAGCAAATATATTGTTGTGATACATACAAAACTATTTATGAGATTTTATACTGTATTATACTGTATTGTATTGTGCTATCCTATGTTATGCTCGGGTATACGCTACCGTTTCGTGTTATGTCCTGTCATGCTGTTTATGCTACCTTATAAGATGATAATTTATGCTATATTACAAACTTAGTGCTAGTCCATTATAATTGTACTGCATGTAGTTCCATTGATCCTGCATGTATACATGTCTCATATGTGCATGTATTCATACATGCACACTCAGACAAACACATTACCACATGCATGCGTGCATGCATGGCATATGCACATGTATGCGTAAACAGCACACACATGCGACGTCCTGCAGACAAACACTGCGTAAGCAGAGAGAGCGAGACAGAGAGAGAGAGAGAGAGTCATCACACTGATACTTGGCGAAACTCGTCCTCCACCCACCCTATATCCTTAGACATACTGACTCCACAAATCCAACGTTGTAACCGTGCAACCCGAAGGCTCTAGCAGCCTTGCGCTGCAGCTTGATGTATCGGGCTTCCAGCGACGAAGCTGCCTCATCACAAAGCTTGGGCGGCTTGTTGGGGTTCGACGTGCGACTTCAAAGAAGGCGAGGAAGAGCTGCAAGCCGAAGATGCACGCTGAAATCCTTTTCGGAGCAATCTTTCACCCCCCCATGTTGACGGTACTGCATCTTTCCTGCACCTGTGGACCTGCACCTCAACCCTCAGCATCCATACATCATCATATGTAATGCCTTGCGAACTTGTAACGTTAGACGGCCCGAGAAATCAAAGAGGTGGTGTCGACCTGCAACTCCAGCACCTCAACGAGTGATTAGATAGGTAGATTCAGACAAATGGATAAAACCATAGGCAGATCAAGAAGACCGGTAGACGAGGGAGAGATAGACATCGGTATGGAAACAAATACAGCCGAATGTACAGCTGCCGACAATGAGACAAAGACAGAGATACGTAAAGCCTGATAGACCGACATGCTGATTCATATTGCGTCTGTTGAACAACAGATTTGTCAGCATCATCTCTATCAAAATTAACTTCACCAACATCGTGACAGCAGTGCAAACTACAAAAAGCAATCGCCCTGACCACCTGATCGAACCAAGCTGAAGAACCGTTTCACCCAGACTTACACTGGCCTTGCTTTTGGCGGCAAGCTCGGTAGTGAGCCCCTCGATCTGCTGTTCACGGATGGCCTTGTCCTTGAGCTCCTGCGTCTGAGTCTTTAGAATCACGAGAATCCGCCGACCCCTGCGGGGGCGGTGCCCAGAAGTTGTGTTCCGCAGTGTGGCTTTGATCGCTGGTTTTGA